GTAAATCTTTTCTCTAGGAACAAGTCTAATATTTAGCCCTTCGCAAGTTGTGATTGTTGCAGTTCTTACTTTTAAAGGTGCTTGCATATCTACCAATTCGACATCAATCTTTCTGTAAAGAGTGGCCAATAACATTTTCAATTAAAGAACTGCAATTCTTCTGCCTGGGCAGATTCCCGGTCTTCCACCAAACATTAAAAAAGAATTATTATGTATCTCTTGAGACTCATAAAACCTTTCTGGGATAAACTATCAGGATTTTTCCAATAACGTGGATTGTTGTGGATTCCACGGACGTACATTATAAAGTACATTTTGGTTGGCCACACGTATCCTGCTACTCCGTTGGATGGATTACCATATCTCGGGAGCAAGCCAAGCGTAGGTCTCATCCTTGGCGTTTCTTTAACAATTGCTTCAGTGTATTTTAATTTTGTAACATCATCTAATGTTATCGGCCTGTTTGGGTCATCTTCAAACACTTTTTCAATCTCTTCCAGCAATTTTTTTTTAACTTCTGGATGGTGCGAGATGTAATATAATGCGTAACAAAAAGTATTTGAAGTCTGAAAAAATTTGATAAATAATAGATATTAGTAACAAATTAAATTGAAGCAGTACATAGTTTTTTACACTGTATTATTACTACTCACCGTATCTGTACCGGCAACATACGCATCACCATGAGGCCACGAATTTCATCATCAGTCATTGGTCTTTTTAATGACGGATTAATTCTTTCTTGATGATTGAAGATGTCAGCAAGTTCATCTGTTTCGTGTTAAGTTTGCCATTCATAATTTCCTTTTCAATTTCTTTTCTTCTTTCTTTAATAATGTCCACCAGTTTTTTGTAAAACCGGTCACAATTATTCAACAGTCTGTCCACACGCGGTTTGATAAACGAAAAGTTTCTTAAAAGTTTTGGTACCAACACAAAATGACTGTCTGACATAAAATTCAGTATACTTTCGATAAACTTTTCGTTATCGAGTATCTCTTCGGTGAGCGGTTCATTCTTTAG